AAAAAAAAAAAAAGAAAGGTGGTAAACTAGGCCGGGCGCAGAGGCTCACGCCTGTAATCCAGCGCTTTGGAGGCCGAGGCGGGCGGATCACCTGAGGTCGGGAGTTTGAGGCCAGCCTGACCAACATGGAGAGAAACCTTGTCTCTACTGAAAATACAAAAAAAAATTGCTGGCCTTGGTGGCTCATGTCTGTGATCCCAGCACTTTGGGAGGCTGAGACGTGTGGATCATGAGGTCAGGAGTTCAAGACCAGCCCGGCCAAGATGGTGAAAACCCGTCTTTACAAAAAAGACAAAAAAAAAGGAGCCAGGCACGGTGGTGGGCGCTTGTCATCCCAGCTACTCGGGAGGCTGAGGCAGAGAATCGCTTGAACCCGGGAGGCGGAGGTTGAAGTGAGCCGAGATCGTGCCACTGCACTCCAGCCTGGGTGACAAGAACGAAACTCCGCCTCAAAAAAAAACCTAACCAGACCCAAGTCTCTCAAACGGCACCTCAGGAAGCCCAGGGGAAGCCTTTGGGGTGGGCCCATGGCGAGGCTCTGTGGGTTTATAAGCAGTTCTCTGGGACATGCAACACCTTGGGCATCAGCGGGGAGGTGGTTGTAGGCAGGCTCCGGCCCGGACGTGCACCTGCGGGGTCCGGGGACCCCTCTTCTGGGCCAGCCAGTGTCCATGCGCCGGTGAACCTCTGGCGATGTGCTCCAGCCTTTGCGAAATGTGTCCGTTCTTCCCACCACCCGTAGGGGGGACATGGCTTCTGCATGGGAGCAGGACTCCGGAGGCTTCCGTGGAATCTGACCTGCTCCCTTCTCAGGCCGGCACCTCCTGATCCTGCTAACGTTTGATCTTGGGGTTCCCTTCCGAGCCGTGCCTGTGTCCTTGGGCCCCTGACCGGCTAGGTTTTCCTTCCTTCCTTCCTTCCTTCCTTCCCTCCCTTTCCTTCCTTCCCTTTCCTTCCTTCCCTTTCCTTCCTTCCCTTCCCCCTTCTTCCTTCTTTCTTTCTGATGGAGTCTCGCTCTGTGGCCCAGGCTGGCGTGCAGTGGCACAACCTCGGCTCACTGCCACCGTCACCTCCCGGGTTCAAGCGATTCTCCCGCCTCAGCCTCCTGAGCAGCTGGGACGACAGGCACCCGCCACCACACCCGGCTAATCTTTGTGTTTTTGGTAGAGACGGCGTTTCACCGTGTTGGCCAGGCCGGTCTCGAACTCCCGACCTCAGGTGATCCGCCCGCCTCGGCCTCCCAGACTGCTGGGATGACAGGCGTGGGCCACAGACCTGATTTGTCACGAGCACGGCACTGAAATCAGAGCCGCCTGTGCAGGAGGCCAGAGTTTTGTTTATTTTATTTCACTTTTGAGACGGAGTGCCAAGGTGAGATCTCCGCCCACTGCAGCCTCTGCCTCTGGGTTCCAGAGACTCTCCTGCCTCAGCCTCCCAGCTAGCTGGGATTAGGGCGAGAGCCACCACGCCCGGCTCATTTCTGTCAGTTTAGTAGAGACGGGGTTTCAGCATCTTGACCAGGTTGGTCTCGAACTCCTGACCTCGTGATCCACTTGACTCAGCCTCGCAAAGTGCTGGCGTTACAGGCATGAGACACCTCGCCTGGACCAGAATCTTTTTAAAAATTAAAATTTTTTTTGAGATGGAGTCTCACTCTGTCCCCCAGGCTGGAGGGCAGTGGCCCAGTCTCCGCTCACTGCGGCCTCTGCCTCCGGGTTCCAGCGATCCTCCTGCCTCAGCCTCCCGAGTAGCTGGGATGACAGGCACCTGCCACCACGCCCGGCTCATTTTTGTATTTTTAGTAGACACGGGGTTTCCGCATGTTGACCAGGCTGGTCTCGAACTCCTGACCTCGTGATCCACTTGACTCAGCGTCCCAAAGTGCTGGGATGGCAGGCGTGAGCCACCACGCCTGGCCCGGAATCTTTTTTTGATTTAAATTGTTTTTTTTGTTTGTTTTTTTTGGCTATGGAGTCTCTCTCCATTGCCTGGAGTTCAGTGACACAATCTCGGCTCACGGCAGCCTCCACTTCCCGGGTTCCAGGGATTCTTCTGCCTCAGCCTCTGAAGTAGCTGGGATGACAGGCCCCCACCACCACGCCTGGCTGAGTTTTGTATTTTTAGTAGAGACGGGGTTTCACCATGTTGGCCAGGCTGGTCTCGAACTCCTGACCTCAGGTGATCCGCCCGCCCCGGCCTCCCACAGTGCTGGGATGACAGGCCCGGCCGAGGGTCAGAATCTTGCAGCCTCCGGGCACCTGACTCCTAAGCCACCATTTGTGATCCAGTGGCCAATATGTTCCTCCTGTAAAGGCAAGAAGGCGCTTTGTTTGGGGAAAGGGCTGTTACCATCTTTGTTTCAAAGCTAAACTACAAAGATATGGTGGCCCACACCCAGGAGTGACAAAGGACAGCTGGGAGGTGACAAGCAGGAGGGGGTGGGTGAGGTCACATCTCTCTCACTGCCCTAAACTT